TTTGCGGTTTAGGGTTCAGGGTTCAGGGTTTAGGGTTTAGGGTTTAAGTGTTTAGGGTTTAGGTGTTTGCGGTTTAGGGTTCAGGGTTCAGGGTTTAGGGTTTAGGGTTTAAGTGTTTAGGGTTTAGGTGTTTGCGGTTTAGGGTTTAGGGTTCAGGGTTTAGGGTTTAGGGTCTAAGGTTTGGGGTTGAGGGTTTAGGGTTTAGGGTCTGTGCGGTCGTACAGGATTTTGACATGAGGCGCTTCAGGGCTTTGATAGTAGTTTAGGGTTTAGGGTTTAGGGTCTAAGGTTTGGGGTTGAGGGTTTAGGGTTTAGGGTCTGTGCAATCGTACAGGATTTTGATATGAGGCGTTCTAGGGCTTTGATAGTATTGCTGGTGGGAAGAGGACAAAAATGCGGGATTCAGCGCCGTAAGCTCTGGACTCACAGTACATGGTCTACTATGGCTACGATGGAAGATGCAGGAGTCCTCTCCATCAACAGCCCCAGCTCAGGAAGGCTTGCAACGGAGGCTGCAGGACATGTCGCCTGGATGCAATGTAGGGCTGTGCCGACGGCCGCAAGTGATGCGCGACCTCGAAGCCCAACAAGGAATGGAGAACACATGGACAAAACGTGTGCCACCATCAAGTTGCGAGCAGCAAGTTGGCATGAGAACAATCATGCAGCATGACAGTGTTCGTTCATGGTGGTGGCGACGATGGGACTATCCCAATGCATGCGAAATGCTCATGCCTAAACCCTAAGCCCTTAAACCCTAAACCCCACACCAAGAACCAGGGGGGAAAGAGGGCCAGGACTTTGAGATCTATATATATATATATATACATTTACATATCCTAAACCCTAAACCCTAAACCCTAAACAGACAGCCTGCTGCACGCTGTCAGCGGCTGCCGGCACGACCTTCCAGGGTAAGCAGGCAGCAGTTGCAGGTTTGCGTGCGGGCTTCGAGCTGAGAGTGAACAGAGGCTTTATGGTTTAGGGTATCGAGGTTGGGATTCAGGGTTTAGGGTTTAGGGCTTAGAGTTTAGGATTCAAGGTTTAGCCTTGAGGGAGTACCTTCAAAATCCGGTAAATATGATGAGGTCCGTAAACGGTTCCCTTTAAAGGCAGTACTTGGAGGATCATGGGACTTAGTAGGTAAGGTTATGAGTCCCCTAATTGGGGTTATAAGTATACTTACCTTGGTTATAACCCTACTTACCAAGTCCCATGATCCTTTAAGTAGACCTAAACCCTAAACCCTAAACCCTAAACCCTATGATCCTTTAAGTATATAGACGGGCTTCCGGAAGGGTACCGGTGAAGAGGCTAGGTCTCCGGAGCTTCGGTTTTTAGGGGGAGAAGTGTTGCTTGCAGGCCTCAGGGGCCCAAGTGACCCGAGGGTTTAGGGTTCAGGGTTTAGGGTTTAGGGTTTAGGGCTTGGGGTTTAGGGTTTGGGGTTTCGGGTTCAGAGTTTGGGCTTTAGGGCTTAGGGTTTCGGGTTTAGGGTTTCGGGTTTGGGGTTTCGGGTTTGGGGTTTCGGGTTCAGGGTTTGGGCTTTAGAGCTTAGGGTTTCGGGTTTAGGGTTTCGGGTTTGGGGTTTCGGGTTTGGGGTTTCGGGTTCAGGGTTTGGGCTTTGGGGCTTAGGGTTTCGGGTTTAGGGTTCAGGGTTTCGGTTTAGGGTTTAGGGTTCAGGGTTCAGGGTTTCGGCTTTAGGGCTTAGTGTCTAGGGTTAAGGGGGGCACCGGGCTCTGACAGTCATGATGATACTGATAATGTTAGTGGTAAAAAGAAGAACAAAACCTGCGAATAATATACATATCCGTGTATATATATATATGCTAGTTTAAAAGCATATATCATAAAAGAACCTATTCATACATGTTTTTAACTGCCTTGCACTTGTAAAGCGTTCTCTGAACAGCGAAGGCCACCCAACAAATGAATTTTGAGTTGTCAGGTGGGAGATGCGAGTTAACGGGCTTCGATTCTGGGCTCTGAGTTCCAAACCGTTTCATCCTGAACTCCTCTTTCATTTCCTACTCGGGTATCCTAGCGTTCAGGGTCCGTGTGCCCATCTAGTGTATACGTTGAACGTACAGAACCTACACAGGAACCATTTTTAGGCCAAGGCCTACTGCAAGTCTCTATAAGTGTGTACTATAGGCGTATCTCGTTGACGATCGCTTCTCTGATCGCAGCGACGGCGTGAACAGCAGCACTGACGACGCGTCGCAGCTCATCCTGAGACGAGGACGTCTCGCCCACGAGCGTTCGGATGCGCTTAGCGGCCGCGACGTACTGTTTGAATATCCCCAATGGGGATATTCAGCCTGAGCGAAGGCCCACGGCTAGCTGCTCTCTTGCGTGGGTGCCTTGCAGGCCGTCCACAGCTCGCGTGCCTTGGAACTGCGTTGGCACAACTTTTGGATCGCATCGAAGTCATAGTGGTCCGCGGCGCCAACGAATGCGGGCGTCGCTGGATCTTGTTGTATTGCAGTCAACGAATGGGGAGAGTGCGAGTTTGCTGTCTCTTCCTATATTATCGACCTGTGCTGCGGCTTGTGCGGTTGGCGCAATGATAATTCAGCTTGCCCTCATACCTGTAGGGCTAGTTCAGCTGAACTCGTTACTCTTCTTTTACACGCCCTAAACCCTAAACCCCTAGACCCTAAACCCTAGCTTGCAGGTGTCTTTTCAAGTCCGAAGCAGGGAAGTATAGGTTGAGTGTGTTAAGCGTTCTCATTCAAAGACCCGAGACCTCTAAGCCGCGGGTCGTGCTAAGACCCAAACCATGGTGAGGGGGTTTAGGGTTTAGGATTTAGGGTTTAGAGTTTAGGGTTTAGGGTCTTAGAGACTTAGGGTTTATGGTTTTAGGGTTTAGGGTTCTATGGTTTATGTTTAGGGTTTAAAGAATTTTATGGCTTAGGGTTTAAAGTTTAGGGTTTCCATGGCCCTATGATTCGAATACAGGAGACCTAACTGGACCTAACTCATGCCCCCCAAATGGCGGAATCGACAGCCTAAAAGCCCAAACTATGTGAAGCTGAGACTTTGGGGTGTAACCGAGGATAGAGGGCCAGAGGTGGAGCTAAGCCCACAGGATGAAACTTGAATGGGGCAACCACGGTTTAGGGTTTAGGGTTTAGGGTTTAGAGTTTAGGGTTAGGGTGAACGCCAATGCATCTGGAAATCGGAAATTGCCGAAACCCTCAATTCCAACCAGCTGCTTCGAACCCCACACCCAACAGCTCTGAACCCAAAATCTCGACCCTAACAAGAGCCCCAAACCCTACACCCTCACTCATACCAGAACCTGAACCCGAAACAACCCTGGACGCTTAAACCCCAATCCTTCGCCCCAACCCCATCTACGGGTCTTAGAGTTTAGGGTTGAGAGTTTTGGGGCTCCCTATAGACCTCTGCCGCTTTCGCATCATCGGGATCCGAACCTTCAGCCCAGTGTAGTTGCATTACAAATCTTGGAAGATGATTGCTGTCTGGAACTACCCTACCGTTACTGCAATGCTCTTTTGTTGGATCTACTGCTGCATAGGAGTCGCAAATGCTCATTACGTTTTTAGACTTTGAGATTTCGTCATTATCACAGGCATATGCAACACGGCTGCCTATCGGCTTTACCAATTCGAGTTGCTGTACCATTAAACCCCAGACCCTGGACCGTTGAAGGCTCTCGGGGTGAGGGTCTGGGCTTTAAGGTTTGGGGTTGAGGGCCAACGGTGTAAAAACTAACGGTTGTTCCGGCTCAGGGTTCAGGGTTTAAGCGGTTTAAGGTTTTGTGTTTGAGGTTCGAGTTTAAGGTTCCGGCTCAGGGTATTGTAGACTCCGGATGAGTAACCTTAAGCGGGAATGAGTATGCGACAAGTCTCGTATCAGTTTTGGAGACCTTTAAGGAGAGGGGGCTTGTCAATTCGCCATCGTCTCGAAGTGTGTTGGATGGTGTCCAATATTGTCCAATCTTAAGGGGGACTCCAGGGACTTAGACGTGTTGCAAGTAGGGGGCCCACATTTAGGGTGACTCGAGTCAGAGTAAGAGCCTCAATTTCTCATCTACCTCCGAGTGCAGGCCCGTGGTACTTCCAAGTAAGGCTTTTGGAGGCTTCACAAGCATCTTTCCCCCCTAAACCCTACAACCTAAACCAAGCCTAGACTCTGAACCTGAAGTCCTCCTCCCGAACCCCGCCCGACAGCCCATAAGACCAAGGCACTCGCTGAGTTGTCGCCCAACCCCTGCACTGAATCCAGCTGGTCAAAGTCGAACATGCCGCTGGAATCTTGCTGCTGGACATTCTCGACTGCACCTCGTGGATAGCTGGAAAGATAAAGGTCGCTTCTATGCAACTTGATAGCAGCTTTCTGAATTTAGGCCTGTTGTGTCACTTTTGTCCCTCCGTTTCGCTTGTCTCACGCGGAAAGGGTTGAGGCGGTTCAGGGTCAACGGGTGTCTATTAAGAGAGCATCAATGACTCAAACTAAGCAATCCTGCTCATTTGTTTTTCCCAGATTCACTATCGTGACAAAGCCGCCCATAAAAGAACCCATAAAGCTTGCGGAAATCTTGCATGAATTTGGGACGCAATCGTCTTTCTGGGCAGCCTTATGCTTTCTGCAATCTCCATCCACCATGTTGTGAGAATAACGATAGAAAATGAAGTTGGTGCGGAGATATTTTGCACGTTGGCAGGAGATCCTCACATCCCTCAACAGAGCGCTCCCACTGCTAGGGCGAAAAGAACTGCACACGAGCCACGACTATACAACGTGAGGGCTTCTACTCACCGAAGTCAGAACAGCTCCACGTACCGCCGTGCCACAAACGACACGCCGCGTCCAGCTCCAGTCAGCTGCCAGTCGAATACCAAAACTGTTTCACTTGAGCGCATCCCGAACACCTGCGCCTGTGGAACGCAACCAAGCCCCGATCTGTGGGGTCAGGAGCGGAGAGAAACGAGGCCGAAGATCTCCCCTCTGGAGGAAAACTGTACAACATTCTTTGACATCCCAAATCAAAGGTTGTGGTCATGAGAAACACATGGCTGTGAGATTGAACATCGCAGGCTGTGAAACTTAATGGTGGGAACAGCAAGCCGAGCTCGGCCGAAACCGACGCATTCGTCTTACAAGCAAAAACCCTAAACACATCGTTCAGATATGATATAGATCCTAAACCCTAAAGCCTAAACTCTGGACCCTAAACCCAAAACCCTAAACCCTAAACCCTAAACCCTAAACTCTAAACCCTAAAGCCTAAACTCTGGACCCTAAACATTTAGACCCCGCACCGCTGAAACCCCAGAGGTCTGAATGGCGATCCCGAGCCGGGCCTTGGGTTCCCACAGCCGTCGAAGCATCGTCCTCTATAGGGTTTAGGGTTTAGGGTTTAGGGTTTAGGGTTTAGGGTTTAGGGGTTCAGGCTTGGCGGTTTAGGTTTTATGGGTTCAGGGTTTGGGGGTTTTGGCTTTTGGATTTGAGGGTTTTGGTTCAGGTTTTAGGGTGTTTAAGGTTTAAGGCTTGAGGCGTTTAGGGTTTAGGGTTTAAGGTCTCTTCGGGCTTTCGTGAGTGTGGTTTGCATAAGCTCCCAAATGCCACCCGGTTGATGCCTTTGGGGTGAAGGCCGATTCTTCCAAACCCGAATTTGTAAGAGTTGAGGGTTTGAGGTTTAAGGTTTAGGGTTTAGGGTTTAGGGTTTAGGGTTTAGGGTTTAGGGTTTAAGGTTTAGGTTCGAATTCGACTCTACATCCAAGCCTTCGGATTCGCGTGGGGCATGGACCCTCTTCCCCTTCATCTCTTCACCCTCATTACCTTCCACTACCAAAACCTAATTGGGTAGGGTCCTTATAGGTTCTATATTAGGGTTGATAATCAGAACTTTAAAAAAGTAGGTGCTGGTAGTTTAAGGTAATTAAGCCCGAACCCCTGAAGTTCCGCGACCGAAACCCCAGCTTTTGACCAAAGGCGCACAATGCTCGGACCTCGCACACTGTCCCTTACCCAAAGACTGGAAAACCATTCCTTCAGCAAAATCACTACCTTGAAACGCGATCCCTGTCCTCGGGCATTCGCGTGGCTATTCCGGCCATCCTCATGTCATGGGCCAGCCGGTTGCTCCCGGAACTCTGCGAACCCGCGAGTGTGTGAGATAGCCCTCACCAGAGGGGCCAACGTGTTACCCTTACCGTGAGCTAAGATGGCGCCCGTACGGTTGCCACCAGTCTGCGACTGGTGTGACCACCCAAGTGTAGACGGTGCGGCGGTCTGCGACCAGCCCTGAGCTGGTTTTTGGTGGCAATATGATGCTGTGTCCCGTCGAAAAGTTGGACAGCATTCGCAATTTGTTCCAGAAGAGATTCTAGCAGTGCGTCCGGTTCCCAGATCCCCTTCTAAAATACCACGTGGGGTTACCCCCCCATTTTATAGTATA